ATTTTTTGCTGAGGTGATCTAATATAAATTTCTGTATCCACCACTGGTACTAAATTATTGAAAACATGGTGGGAATACGGAGCGTTCTCCAAAAACCAGAAAGTCCACTGTATAAATCTCAGATAAGAAAGTATAATACATACTCTAAGTCAGGGGTGGGCATAAAAATTTGTCGAAGGGCCAAAATTAATTTTTGAATTAACACTGAGGGCACACACACTTTGATGTTTCCAGTGAGCTTCCAAAAACCTCCAAGCACTACATTTACATCACTTTATTCTCACTTTTAATGTTATTTTTTACATATGATCGGTGTCGGGTCATAAAAAACAAGGTGTTTTCAAGCCATTGTTGCTTGGCGGGCCGCACACATAGGGTTTTTAATTCATTTTCGTGGGCCGCAAAAAAATCTGTCAGGCCGCATGCAGCTCGCGGGCCACATTTCGCCCACTTGTGCTCTAAATATTGAAATGCATGCCACTGTGTTTGAATTCAATATTCCAACATTAATTATGTCTATTGAATCCCAAAAAGATGGTGTGCATTTCAAGACTTGGTGTACAGTATGTATTGTACTTTCTTATAGTGGTATTATTGTACGGCAATTTTATACAATGCTACAGCAGCAACAATGACATGGGAAGAATAAATGATAACATAATTGAAAGAATAGTTTAAATCAAATATTAATAGATTCTGTTTTTAAAACAGATCATAGGGCTTTTTCCCATTACACACCTGGGGCAGATGCAAGATTTGGTGGTACTGTAGGTGGTGCTGAGAGTCCACACCACCTCAGCCCCACCATGGTTGGGGCTCTGAGGTGGGAACATTTTGAGAATATGGACCTCTAGGCGCCAAGAAATTGCACTCTCATACAGGTTTAATTAATAATTTATCTTTATATCAACTATACAATACAATTACTTTTCTTAATACAATTTGGGGGGGGGAGAGGGTGGGTGGTTGTGCAATCGCACTGTCTGCACACTCCTACATCCGCTCCACACATATTATTGCAGTGGTACCTAACATTTATGGATTCGTGGACCCTTCAGGGCATGTTAAAAGTCTTCATGGACCCCCAAGTGCCAGTTTACTCATCACTGACGGTATTCCACCAAAAGGATAACAAGATTACAGGGAGAAGATGATTCACCACAACAGTACAACATCACTACAGTTTTATTAGGGGAGACTTTTTTTATTCCTTGTTTCCTGAACTTATTTTTTTTAAAGATCGTTCGATAAGGGCGAAACAAAAATAATAAAATGTTGTTTTTTTATTTAGTAAATAGTTTTGCCAAAAAACTCCAGACGGAGAAGAAAATAAAAATAAAATGTTATTGGTGAGTCTTGAATGTAGTGTACAGTAATAGGATGGTAAATGCTTTAAATTTATATAATTAGAAAGAAATATACAGTACTTATCTTATTTTTGGAGATTTTAAGGCAGCTGCAGGCAGAATAACATAAATGCTTATATTTTTTTCTGAAATTTTCCATTTTTCATGGCAGCGGCTGCACTAATTGGCCAAAAATAAAATTTTATTTTTATCCAAAATCATACTTAATACTGGCGGGCGGCTGGTTCGCCAAGCAAGATATAAATAGTCTCGCCTTAAAGGCTCCTAATTATTGGCAATAAGATAGTCTATCACACTGATTGTCACTGATTGTCAGACGTAAATAAAATGGAATCTTTAAAAATTGGTCAAAAACTGGACCCCCCAGTAATTTTGGGAATCCCAGAAGTATGGACAAAATGTTAAAAAGAAAAAAACAAGAAGATTTATAACTGCATTACTTTTCATTGACAGTTTTTAAAAATTTATAATAATTTACAGTTATATAATACATACTCCAAGTATTGAATACACGCTATTGTGTTGAGATTCAATATTTCGACAGTTTTTAAAAATTTATATTAATATACAGTTTTATATAATTTCAAAAAAAGTATCACTGATAATAGCCCCAAGCCTCTAAAATAGCCCTGGCCGCAGTGCTTTGTGTTGGCTGCAATGCCTACAGTATACCTACGCCACTGGGATGCATATTAATAATTAGCAAGGCCTAACACTATTTAACACGATATGCATTCTGCATTTTTTGAAAACAGGTAGCACTAATTTTATTTATTTATTTATTTATTAATAGCTGTTTATTCCGGTAAATAAAACATTAAAATTATAACAGCAGCCAAATGCTGAAAAAATTTTTTTTAATATGTTAGTCGAAGTTTTCAATATTTTTTAAAAGGTTTTTTTCAAAATTATATTAAAATAGTATTACAGATTATTAAAATTATCACCACTATTCTCAACATTCTTATTATGAACCTATACTATTATTATTATGTTATTAAATCTAACTAATGTGAAGAAAATTTATAATAGATGATGATATAGTACAAGGTTAACTCTCAAAAATTACATGAAAGCCAGAAAATTCATTCTGTTATCCTATCTTTTTAAAGCCTGAGGTCCAGGACCCTGGCTTTTTTTTTTTTTTTTTTTTTATGTACAATTTGATTTTTCTAAGACACAAAATGTATATTTGACAAAACACTTGGAAGTGCAGTTAATGAGATACAGTTTTTGAATATTCAAAAACTGGTGGAAAATGGGATGCAACCACCCTTTTTTTCCACCTTTTCCCCCAGTTTTCAAATTTTCAAAAATCTGTATTTCATTAATCATTAATTTTTTTCCCCTAATTTGTTTATAATTAGTTATTATGCACTAGTATTTACAAGTACTGTAATCTTTATTTCCAAAATCTGCGTATGGAAACAGAAAAAACTGAAAAATGTTATGTTGGCATAACAGGCCCCCAAAAAAATAAGGTAGATAGGTAGGGATTTTTTTTTTTTTTTTACTGCCACAATATTCAGCAAAGACCTTGAAATCTATAAAATCAATTATATAAGCCTTTAAAGCCCCTAATTGTCATATTTTTCGCCCTTGGACCACTTTTGAAACATTTTGAGTGACGTCCGACCATGCCTACTTTTCTAATGTAAACTTGTATCATGAAAATTAAATAAAAAAAGTCTAGGGTCGGTCGATATTTTAGGGTCGGTCGGGTTACGCCAACATAACTTTGTTTTTAAGCCTTTATGAAATTGAAAATCATTTCCTCACCTGCTGCAAGGTAAAGAGGTGGTGGTGTACAGTATTCATGGCTTGAAGATCACTCAAACTTTTCACATTCTGAAATATTGAAGATAAAAATAAATATATTTTGTATAAATTATAATGAATATAAAACTATAAATATTCATAAAAAATCATAAATATGCAAGTAAAATACATGGATTAATCAGTGATGGAGCCAGGGAATGACAAAAACAAATGAAAATATCTGAACAAATAAATAAAATCTTTCTCATTATCAAGGTACTCAGTGGCAGATTCAAGGAGGTGGGGGAGGGGAGGGGGTGAGGGCAGCTAGCCCCTAAACTTTGCAAAATTTTAAAATGAAAAAAACAAAAGAAAATTATATTACAATTTAATAAGTCCTGAATGGCATTTTTGTCCATCTAGATGTGCCATAATCATAATTTTTTGCTGAGGTGATCTAATATAAATTTCTGGATCCACCACTAGTATTAAATTATTAAAAACATGGTGGTAATACAGAGCGTTTTTTTATACCTTGTTTTTGCGAACCTGCGACTGCAAATATTGTTGATTTTGAATAAAAAGAAAATTTTATTTTTGGCCATTTCAGAAAAAAATAGGTTTTTCTTTATTTTTATTATGCCCTACACTGCCTTGAAATCTCCAAAAATAAGATATGTATATTTCTTCCTAACTATATAAATTTGAAGCATTTAACCATCCCATTTTACATTCACCAATAAAATTTTATTTTTATTTTTTCCTCCATCTGGATAATTTTGGCAAAACTATTAGCTAAATAAAAAATAATAATAAGTACACGAGACAAGGAATAAAAAAAGTCTTGCCTAAGAAAGTATAATACATACTCCAAGTACTGAAATGCATGCCATTGGATTTAATTATGTCTATTGAATTCCAACACAATGGCATGCATTTCAAGACTTGGACTTGGATTGTACTTATGGTGGTAATTGTACACAAAGTTACAGCAGCAAAAATGACATGGGAAGAATAAATGATAACATGATTAAAGGAATAGTTTAAATCAAATATTAATATTAGATACTATGTTTTTAAAACAGATCATAGGAGTTTTTTTGCCATTACACACTGGGGCAGATGCAGGATTTGGTGGGTGGTGAGAGTGCACACCACCTGGGAATATGAACCTCTAGGTGCCCAGAAATTGCACTCTCATACCAGATTTAATTTAATTTATCTTCATATCAACTATACAATACATTATTAATTTTCTTAATACAATTTAAGGTGGGGGGGAAGGGTGTGTGACCCCACCGTCTGACCCTACATTCGCCCCAGACACATTATTGCAGTGGTTCCCAACCTTTTTGGATTTGTGGACCCTTCGGGGCATGTTAAAAGTCTTCATGGACCCCCAAGTGCAAGTTTATTCATCATTGACGGTATTCCACCAAACGGATCATTTCAAAGAGAAGATGATTCACCGCAAAAGTACAACATCAATACTGGCGAAACTTTTTTTATAACTTGTTTCGTGAACTTATTTTTTTCAATTACAGCATTAGACAAAGACAATACAAAAAAAATCTATATTAAAAAAAAAACAAAAAAAAAAAACCATAAATTATATATTATTATAATTATTATTGCAAAAAATATTAAAAATATACAAAAAGGCAGATGTATACAAGGTAAATATCATTTAAATTGAAAAAAAAAAATTTTTTTAAAGGATTAATTTACTGGAATGAATGAATAAATTAATAAAATCAAACGGGGATATGTCTCTAAATAAGCTTTTGAAACTCTTAAAGTGTCATATTTTTGGAGGGTTTTATCCCCCCGGACCAATTTCGAAAGGTTTAGTGGGTTTTAGCGACGCCTGACCACGCCCACTTTTTTCTCATCAGGGACATCAGCCCCCCTCGTCGGGGACCTTGGACTCCCCGTCGGGGAAATCCTGGCGCGGCGACTGGCAAAGACTACATCTTATACCCTTAAAAGTATTGCATCGTAAAAGGCATTTGATACAGTTTGGTAGGAAGGGAAGTTTAGTAGCAGTGTGGAATATTGGAATTATTAAGGGGTTGTCTATATATATAATAATTGATAGCCTATAAATTTTCAAGGAAAAGTCATGTTTGGTAAATAGAGGCTATTAAATTATTTTCACATTTATTATGAAGTCAAACAGGAGTGTGTACCTCATACACCATTTTCGCTAAATAAATTGAAAATTTCCAATAACCTGGCAACTACCACTGGGGACTTCCAGAGGCCTGGCATTTCACTTCCGTACTTAGCATCATGGATTAATTAAACAATAAAACTAAATTGCTAACGAGCACAAATACTTTAAATGGGAAAAAGAATGAAATGTTTATATTAAAAACAAGTCTAAGACTTACAAAAGCTATTTCAATACAGGTACAGTAATTAGCAAAGATCTTATATGTTGTCTACTGCTGCTATACCAAAGGACTAGCAGCACTATTCGCTGCGCGGTGCTCTATTTGTAACTAGTCAGCTGCTCAGACGAGGCCGCTTGAAGCCCCCCAGTAAAAGTTGCAAGATTTTGGTGGCGCTGTTTCAAAATAGACCCGATAAAATGGTGTATATGTTCTGTATTCTCTTGCATGAATTCACAAAGTTGCTTAAAAAGCAATGACTTAAGGTGTCCGTATACATAATGTATACATAATGGCATCAGAATCAAGCTCTGAATGGCAATAAAAAGTTATGAGCATTTTAAAATCAGTTTTATTTGAGCAAAATTAATTATTTTAAGATTCAGGTTCAGGTTGTGTGGTCAACTACTGGCCCTAGACCAAATATTTTAGTGGCAATTAGTTATTTGGGATATAGACTATATCCAAGTGCAAGATTATTCCAATCAAACATCAAATCACAGATTTATGACAATCCAAAAATGGTCGCAGCTCAAAAATTGAATCCCGTACCCTAAATTTGAGGGGTAAAATGACTACATAGATAGTTAGGAATTCAAATGAAACTTACACAACTGGAAGATATGTATCTTGGCCATATATGGTAAAAATATATTTATCTTAACTCAACCCCTTTAATATAAACTCCCAATGTGAAAATGGTATTATTTTAGGATATGCATGGGGTTGAAACCAGAAATTGCTGACATACTGTACACCATTTTGATCTGGGACCACGCAACATTGCTAAAAATAAATAAATTTCCGGCCAATTTTTAGAAAAAGTTTTTCTATATAGAAACACCACCTAGGCACCCCTACTCTAACATTGTTTACACAAGAGTGTGGCTTTTTCCGAGTGTTGTAGCTGACTATATCTAGTGGCATAGGGTATTGACATGGGGAGTGAACACTAATGGGGAAAATGGATTAAGTGGGGCGCTAATATGATGCCTAACCATTTGCAGCAGGCCCGGGGCATGTATTCTGTTGATAACACTGCTTTGAAAACTTATTTTTGAGTCTGAATATGCCACTTCCAGGAATCTAGGTATCTATGTTAAAAATTTGCTCACCTCATCCCCAACCACTGTGCCAGGTGAGTGGATATTTTGGTAGTTGCTAAATACAACCAATTCAGTCCAGGGGGTAAGGGCGTCGATCCGTGGTTAAAAGTGGGGGGGGGACGACAAATGAAAAATAAAGCCTTGGGCCGTAGGCTGAAGCCTTGGTTTGGGACCAGGGGCGAAGCACCCGAAAGCTCTCGCGCCTATAGCATTTTAATTGATTTTAAGCAATGCAATTAACATTTATTTCCATACGAAATTTTCAAAATATCCAGTGGCGGATCCAGTAATTTGAAACAGAGCTGAGCCCAGAGAGGGACTTTTGCAGATGGAGAGTGTAGACCACATCAGCCCCAGCATGGTTGGGGTTGAGTAAGAAAATTTATGATTATGGCACCTCTAGTTGGTCGGAAATGGCACTCTCAGACTTAATTTGAATATTATTTTCATTTTTCTCTACTTTTAAAATTAAAAAAAAAAAACATAGGGATGGTGGGCCAGCTGGGCCCCTTGAATCTGCCACTGAAATACTCAACATAAAAAGTTTTTAAAATTATCCTTTTAGCCATAATTATGCCCGATTATATATTTCGTGCAAAAACATTCATAAAAATAATGATTTATTATATATCTACTGATTAGCTTGTGACGTATTCAAAATTCGAACCATGAAAAACAAATAACAAACTTAAAACAGTCATAAATTTAGTCTTTTTACAGTACTTTTAAAATCAATTAAGAGGTTTTTGCTTTTCTCCTCATTTTGAATTTCACTTTTGTGTAAGCAATATTGCGACTACACCATTGTGAGTGGAAATAATACTGTCTAATTTACAATCAAACAGGACTAGGAAGATAGGGAGCACACAAAACATTAGTTAGCATTTTCACAAACATTAAGGTGATTTACTAAATTTATCATTATCAGTTGCGGCTCCAGGAGGAAAGCAAAATAGAGGGGGAACAGGGAGGGACTTGCACAATTTGGGAGAGTAGATCAGCCCCACCAAGGTTGGGGCTGAGGAAAGAAAGTTTATGATTATGACACCTCTAGATTGCCGGAAATGGCACTCTCAGACCTAAATTCTAATTATAATTTTCCTTTTTTTCCATTTTTAAAAAATAATAAAATAAAAAAATTTAGGGTCAGCTCGACCCCACTTGATTCCGCCACTGATTATTGTGAAGTCATTGCGAGATTGCGTCATGGTAACACTGGAGTAAAATTTTTGTATCACTAAATCAAAATAGATGGACATGTCCATGTCAAAGCCTGTAAAATTATTATTTAATAATAGCTACATAAAATTCAATTGACTATTTAAAACTATATTTTTTTTGAAATTAGGAAAAACAGTAATCCTATGTATGTAGATAATATTAAACACATACGTACAGGTATACAAAAGGAATAAATCGTTTACAGTAGAAATTGTGCACTTTTGAGTTTGTAAAAATATTGGCATAATAAGCATACACGCTTCCAATTTTAACAACGTTCAGTACATTGTTTTCACAATAAATTTAGCGTCTGATAACCGCTGCACCCATAAAATCGATCTAGTGGTTTCTGAGATGGTTACGATATGTATAAACAATTGCATTTTTACTTGGCTTAGGTCCGCAAAATACGTACTGCACTTGGAAAACAGACAAAATTTATGAGTCATGCGTAATTGTTATTCTTTACATTCTTTTAAAAGTGGGGTTTTAATTATAGAAGATTGGTGAAAAGTGGGGGGGGGAACAATCGATATGATGTTCCCCTACTTTGAAAAGTGGGGGGGGGGGAAACATGTCCCCCTGTGCCCCACCGATTGACGCCCATGCGAGGGGGCGTGGCTTGGTATGGTGATATCATGTATAATTTCAGCTATAGTTCGTCTTAATCTCCTCGACAAAGGGAGACCCCAAAATACAGTACCGTACAACTAATTTCTCCATAGTACAACCAATGTAAGAAAACATTGTCCCTGTTTTTTTTTTTTTTTTAAATTAGGATCTCTGGAATATTATCAATTTATGGGGCCTACACAGAGTGAAATATTTACATAGTAGTTAGTCTTAATTTTGGAGGTATTGATTAGGCCATAATCATAGAAAGAAATGAAAACAATCAATGGTCTATACTACTACAATAAAATTAGTCTATACATTTTCCAATTTTAATTCCATAAACAATATCTTACTATATCTTATTATCTTATTATACTTTACTATATCTTACAATATCTTAAAATTACAACTTTTTTACTGCTGAAGTTTAGATTTACTGTATATTACTTTTTATTATTTTACTGCTTTTAAGCAAAATTACCATGGCTATCCAGAAAAAGAGAAGGTAACAGAAAGTTAATATATTAATTCAATTAAATATATTAACTTTCCCATCTGTACTGTAATTTGTATTGTATAAAAGGTATGTAAATTAAATAATAATTAATATTCAGTACAGGATTCTTTTAGTTGCCTAGGCCTAGAAGGGGTCTATTCCAGGGATTTCAAGATTCTACATAGACCTAGCTTAAGACCAAGGAAAAAAAAAACAAAAGTAGTTTCTTGTCTTAATACTGTATTTTGAAAAAAAAGGAGAATGCAAGGGAACTTTTTCACTCTGAAAAGGCAAATCCAAGATGGTCGATAGGAAACAGCTACTGTACTATTTTCTCACTATACAAAGTAGACACATTGAAAGCAAACAAAAAAAGCACTAGACTTGATACATACCATATGTATCCCCAACCACTAATGATAGAGAGAGGAATTTTTACTGATGTGAATTAGCCAGATTTCATGCATTTCGTAAAATTTATTTGGCCTAACGTAAATGACACCTAGACTAAACTGTAGGACTGGGTTGCTGGATGGACTAGGCTAAAATAAAATGGAAGAAAAAAATTATATTCAAATTTAAATCTGAGTGCCATTTCCAACCATCTAGAGGTGCCATAACCAGAAATTGTCTTCAGCCCCAACAATGTTGGGCCTGAGGTGGTATTTTCCCCCTACTGTATGTAGTACTGTATCTGTGAATGTTCTTCCCTGGCCCCTTCTATTTCAAATCTACACTACAGTATAAAAAAAGAAATACTGTAGTTGGGGCTGACAAGAAAAAAGTTCACAATTTATGTCGGCCCGCCGCTGGTCTCTCAACAAATTGGAACTGCAGCCCCCAGAGCTTACAATGGTTGCATACCTGGGGTGTATGGTCATGAAGTTAGCTTACTGTGTAGGTACCCACCATAACTACATCCCTGTGTAGAGTAGATACAGTCTGTTAAGTGTAAGGACAATGTTGGATGAGCCATCGCCATCGGAGCGTGACCCTCCCTTCAACCTGTCTCCCCCCCATTATTTTTGTTTACTATATTTTCGCTAGGCCTAGTTGGATTGAATCTTTTGTTGGTTTAGTTTTTAGTTGATCTTGAACCCATTTTTTTTTTTCTGTTGGTACGTGCTATTTTTTTATTTTTTTTATTTGTAGATTTTTGTGATGGATAGACTTTTTTACTTTGGCCTAGCCATAGAGCCTAGGCCTAGGTCTTTTTTTGTTATGATTGTCTTTGGATGCACTGCCTAGCCTACTACGCGGCTGAGTGCAACTATATATATATGACAGATACAGTACAGAATATATTCAGCCTGAGTTACTTAATACACGGAGTCCATGGACCACACCTGATACATATTGCCTTTTAAAAACCCTAATAACAACTGTCCTCTACTTACATAAAAATTTAATTGCTTTAATTTCCACTATTATTGAACAAAACTGTAGGCCTAGGCCTAGATATCAACGCCCAGGATGTTCAACCACATGTGCACGTAAACAGTAAATATCTAACATTTTTATCAAAAAGCACTCTAAGAACAGAATTTCCAGAAACCAAGTATAGAGCAGGGTATAGTGTCTCATCTCAGTTGGTAGAGAAACCGAGCGGCAAACGGAGTCTAGAATTAAGGACGCTACCGAAAAATTCGTGGAAACCTTAAAAATTCAATTAAAAGTTTATAATTACGCACACTGTCAAAGTGTAATGCTCTCCTATTTATGACGTCATATATTATATCAACTTGTAGCCAATCACGGCACTATAAACAAATGTCTTTGAAAGAATAATATGAACTCATTTTTGGCTACATGCGATTGTCTGTGTCAAGAATCTATCTTAATCATTAGGTAACTTCATCTGAAGAGTGTTGCACCATGTAGCACGAAACTAAATAGTAATAAAATGCTTAATCAAACCTACTGTTAAACCTCTTATTTTTGCTATATATAGGCCTATATATATATATATATATATTCAGTGCACATGTTCACAAACGCCATTGATTGGAACATGGACCTTATTAATAGGCTGTCTCTTATACACATCTAGATGTGTATAAGAGACAGAGAACGGAGTGCGTCAAAATCTAAAAAATACGTACTGGCATATTGTAATACACATTCCCTTGTTGTACATTATGATATGTTTCATTAACATAACATACACTGACGATCGCCAACAAATTGGGTGGGTACAGTATTCAAAATTTTACGATATGGTGAACTATTTAGATTAAAATGTTGAAAGTGATTATATAAGAATTAGATGAGTCACTGTCAATAAAACAATTCGCGGAAGAGGAGTATTCAAAATATCGGTACTATTAATATGGGACTAATCAGATTACTGACGCCATTCTCCATCGGCAATTGATTTTATGTGCATTATTTATCTACAATTCTTATCTACAGTTAACACACTAAAGAATATTTACACTCACAATTTAAAAAAAAAAGTTACCAACAACGACATCTAATAGCTGTGTGAAAAACAAATTATCAGCCTGCTGCTCTCTGAATAGTGATCGTAACTGAACAATAATGATGCAGCAACACGCTTGGTCAACTTGTAAAAAATTCAGAGGCTTCTGTTGTTTGCCCATAAAAAAAAAACATTTTTGGAGTGTTATACAGTACGATTTCAAAACATTGTCATCGTAGGGCCTAATGAAACAGCTATAATATTGAAAACAAACAACTTGAAACAAAATCGGTGTACGGATTCAAATAAATATTTACAATAGATTTTAATGGTCAACAATCAAATTTTACGACCAATTTTTACATACGTTAATTTGTGAGTGACGGTGTGAGATAGACATGCAAAACAAACATTAGCGGTCTATAATAGCTGTATAATATCTTTGAATATCATTTTATACCGATTCATTTATATGCTTGGTCATTTTGTAATCATTTAGAATTCAACAGTTTTTAGTATTACTAAAAACTGTTTTGATACTACGTCTAGAATTTGATACTACGTCTAGAAGTGTAGAGATACGAACCCTATTAAATAGGGTTCGTATCTCTACACTTCTAGACGTAGTATCAAAT